CATATTTACAAAATTTGTAAATTGTACCTAATTAAACATTTAAATATAAGTTTTATCCGTACAATAATTGCTCCATAGTTCAGAGTTACCTAGACTACAACAGTTTTGTACAAATAGCTAAAATATGTGATAAACCCGAAGTTAAAATATTGTCTCATNACACTTGTAGCATGTCCACATATTCATCATTAGTAAAATTTGGCATAATTCTTGTTAATTTACACCCAAAAAGTATTTAGCTGATAACAGTGACAACTTACAGAAGAGTTAATTGTGACAACTGGCATGACAGCAGCACACTTAGTTTTTATTTGATTGATTGCAATCATACACGGTGTGAGGTGAATGGTAATACATTTTATTTTTTTATTAATAAACGAAAAGTTTTAAAGGAAAATTGCTAGAGAGGTAAAAGTTTTTAAAAGAACCAGTTTATCTAATGCGTATTTTTGGATATCGAGTTTTTACGAAATATAAAAGTTATGGCAAAAAATGGCTTGAGGGGTGGTTATTTCAACCCCATTCGAGGGGTTAAAATTTTCGAAAAATAGTTGAAAACTCGCATCTGTATTATTTAAAAAATTTGTTATTTGTACCTCGTTCGGTTTTCAAATTACAGCCAATTTTCATAATTTTTTTGGAAACTTTGATGGCCCATATCTCTTCAGGGGTGAACTAAGGCGATTTTTTGCAGATCGTGTTCTTTTAAAATGTAGATTCACTGGTATCATTTATGCTACTCCATTCAAAAACACCCTGTAGAAAAAAAATGTTTATTTATATAGTTAAGACCCCGCCGAACGTGAATTAGCGGTCAGAATTGATGGTTCTTTTTCTAACCTCAAAAAACCGGGTCAATTAAGGTCAGATATCACGAATTTTCAAAAAATAACAAATTCGCACCAAATGGGGGTTTTCGGGGTGCACAGTCACACAAAAAAAGATTAATCAAAAACGTTGGCACGTACACTAGGGCAGGTAATTCTTGGGATATAAATGTGAGATAGAAGTGATGCAAACTCTTCTCGTCGCGCCGCCGCCATTGCAGAGTACAGTTCGTTATCTGAAGCATCGATTTCTTTTTATATATTTACACGTTTTTCCTTAATACTGAGTTGCAAAATAAATTATTTGCTGTGTTACTTATTAGTGTGAGATTATTTTGGTGGACATTAACCATACATTTTTTTTAATTTGTAAAATTATACAATGTATTTTTGCCTCCTGATCACGAATCCGGTGTCAGAATTGAGCTATCATATCACAGGAATTTCCTAACCTCAAAAAACAAGTGCTAGGAAATATAATTTTTTTTTCTATATTCAAATGTTTATTTTTTTCAAAAAATAACAAATTCGCGCCAAATTTGGTATATGGGGGTTTTCGGGGTTCACAGCCACACAAAAAAAGATTAATCAAAAACGTTGGCACGTACACTTGGGCAGGTAATTCTTGGGATATAAATGTGAGATAGAAGTGATGCAAACTCTGAATTCTGTCTCTCTGTTATCTGAATCATCGATTTCTTTTTATATATTTACACGTTTTTCCTTAATACTGAGTTGCAAAATAAATTATTTGCTGTGTTACTTATTAGTGTGAGATTATTTTGGTGGACATTAACCATACATTTTTTTTAATTTGTAAAATTATACAATTTCTTTATGAACAATTATTGAAAAATTGTTAGGGATTATTTCATTTGCGATTTATTTTCTCGATTATTAGAAATTTACTTTGCAAAAATAAATGTAAATCGTCCTTGCAAAAGTGCAAAAATTGCAACTTAATAAAACAAAAAATAATAAAATTATTGAAATACCAGGTAGGTACATTTTTATATTTATACAGGGCGTTTTATAATTCTACCGATACAGAGTAGGCACGTGTAGAGGATCTTAAAATATGCCGATTTATTATATAATATAATATTTTTTTGTAGGATGTACCTACCGTTGAAGAGATATTGGCCTCTGAAAATGAGTGCCAAATTTTGAAAAACAATATATGCAATTTTGCAGGTATTTTCCAAGACGATGGAATAGTATCTACGTGGTAATGTGCAGTATTTGTAAACGTCAAAAATGACAAATGAGATCATAGCGTACTAGTCGTAAAACTGCGCACTATACTTTTTGTCCGATTCAATTATTATTAATGATGAAATTTCACAAAATCCCGATTTTCTCAAAAACCGTAATTTTTCCGAAAAATATGTACTTATGAGCAAAACAAATTTTAAAATTAAATTTCCTGTAATACTGGTAAAACTATTTAATAACTCGCATACTTACTGATAAAAAAATCATTTTAAGGATCCCTACCCCCTACTCCAGCCCTTATTGGGCTTCCAACAAATTCATATTTTTACCAATTAAAGATAACAATAAACGCAAATCATGTATCAAATTTGGTTGCTCTATGTTAAGGCATTGCTGACAAAATATTATTTTTCAAAATTTAACACTCATCTTCAGAGGTCAATCGAAGCATCCGTACGCTATCTCAAATCTGAAATCGTATTAAGATTGAATCTAGTATTACAGAATATGTAGGTGTATGTACAAGTTTACAATATAATGTTGAATGTACATTTTACTTCAATACATATACATACCTACATATTTACAAAATTTGTAAATTGTACCTAATTAAACATTTAAATATAAGTTTTATCCGTACAATAATTGCTCCATAGTTCAGAGTTACCTAGACTACAACAGTTTTGTACAAATAGCTAAAATATGTGATAAACCCGAAGTTAAAATATTGTCTCATTCATATTTTTACGACTGTGTACCAAGACCCCAATAGTTTCCTTCCAGTACTCTTTCACAGTAAAAATTAAAAATTTGCAGGTACACAAATTGGGGTGGAAGGTAAGTACAGTCCGTACGATATTCGTTGAGATAGAATTCCGAGAAGACATCTGTGGGAAATTTCAAGGCACGCCCTTGCCACGGTAAATTGTTTACAGTAATTCCGATAACAGAACTTTATTGGCTTATTCATTTCTTGGAATTCTATTTCAACAAATATTGTATGTACTGCATCGACATAGGTATACGGATACGCATATTTCACCTGGAAAATATAGGAATTAAAAAAAAACCTGAGGCTCGTCGATTATCTTTTCAAGGAGGACACGTGATGGTGTAAGTTTTGGTGTCTTGGATATTACCCCTTAGGCAGGGTCGTAAAATACCCTGAAACTTTAAATGGCACCCTATGTTGAGTGGACACCTCATTTTAAATCTTTTTCAATTCTGCTCACGACAACATACGACTTTTTAAATTTTGGCTTGGATATGACAAAAAAATCATCAATTAAAGAATAATACAAAATATCAATGAATGAAAGAATGTTATTTTATTAAATCTTCAAATTGGCTTCCGCTCCATACAATAATAAAATCTTTGCTCCACTTCCGAACGAACATTTCGAAATATTTCGGGCGTTATCTGACGACATTCTTGAACAATTTGTCTATAAAAAAATTGTTTTGATTTTTTGTTTCTGTCAATAGAAAAACTTTTTAATTAATTTTTATGGGAAATGTTTTGAAAGGGTATACACAACGATAAGGGTTAAAATGAAGGAACGTATTCCTCATCCAAATTATGGATATTTTTTCTATTTTATGTGTCTGTGCCGTTGAAGCCCTCAGTTTTTACAGGATATTCAAGTTAAAAAAAATGTTACCTCTACCTATCTCCAAGATATTTATATCATAAATGAATAAAAAATAGTATTCATTGTTAAGAAAGCTAAGTGTGCAGTGACGTGCTATAAAATAGATGTTTAAGTTACAATTTCCTCAAAAAAAAACACTAATTGTTGGTTCAATTGTTCTCAGTGGCGTGCCAAAATTTTTGAAAGAATTTAACCATCAGCATACTTACCCCACAATTGCGCCACAGGTTTTAGTTGAGACTTACTTTTTACGTTGGTTGCTACTTTGAGTATTAACAATTGTGCACATAAAATTTCATTTCAATATTTTAATTTATTCAGAAGAGATAAGTGTAGGTAATATTTTTTAAAAACAAACATGCTGTATTTCAAAAACGTCGGATTCCGAAGCAAATGTTTGCATAAAAAAATATTCTTAAATTAGGACGAGGAAAACGCCCCTTCATTTATGACACGTCGCTGTGTTCTACCTTGTATTTTTTGTACTTTGTAGTTATAAAAGCAGTGCTAAGTAATAGAAAAAATTGAAAGGTGGGCATCTCGTCACGATCAGCATACAAAAATAGGTGTAATTACCTAAGTATATAGGTACCATCATCAACAATTATTCAAAAAATCATGTCTGTTCAAGAATGGTGAAATCTGTGTGGCGTCTATTCAATAAATATTGCAATCTCCATAATCATTAGTTATATAAGCTCTGCAGCAGTAAGTAGTTATGTAATAGTATATTACATAGTAAGATCGTTATAAGTACATATAGGGTTAGATTTGAAAGTTAACTGAGCGAATAGTGACTTAAGGGTACTTTCTCTGGCGTGAGGTTCCATGAGCATATTCATAAATCAATTATGCAAGTGACAATGTGACTGAAACTCGTACTTAGTGAAGCCAAAGCAGGACACTGACAGCTGTATGAATGAGTGAAACACTCGCCGAACTTCGCGTCGCGGAAAAGCTCCTTAAGAACGTAAAAAGTAAAAAAGATATCAAATGGATTTTTCATATTATTTACATTGAATAGGTAGATGAAATTTTAGATAACTGACTAATCAGCCAGTGGTATTGTCATAAACAACAGTAGATCAATACTAAGTACCTACAGGAAAACATTCAGTACTAGTTAAGTTATGTAATTATCATCTTATTTTAACGTTACAATAGTCTACATTTAACTTTCTTGTCGGTTCAGCATGTAAAGATTAACAACTAACTTGTCGTTGATATTTAATCGTATATAGCCAGTTTAGAAATATTGAATCTTGGAAGTGCAATGGCCTACCAAAGTTGCTCAAAAAAATCGCCGTTATAAAATCATATCATATGAAGAAAATACATTTGGTGACCTACCGTCTTTTTGGCTTCTATTTGACAGATCCTGGGCCAAATCCATGTCCAAACTGCCATCCGAATCCGTATCTCTAGAATCTCTTCCTAAAAATTGATGGTGCTGGGCGTGAAGCGACGGAGTCGTCGTCGTCCACGGCACGATGTTCGCGACGGTCCTCCTTGGCCCACAGTCACTCATCAAGGCCTCAATGGAGAACGGTCGCGGCACAGGCTTCGTCAACTGTTCACTGCTGTTCATCGCTTTCACCATCGAATCACCAGATGGAATCTCCATCCCGCGCGGCACACAGAGATTGAGCGCAATCAAAAACCTAGCAAAGACATGGGATGCATGTAACACTATAATCGGTTCCAAGCACACATAAAGTCGAGTCGACACTGTCGTGCTATCGCAGTTCCGTCTTTGCAATGGGGTGAACTGTTTAGGAAGGTGCGGCATAACTCGACCACGCCTTTCCGCGCGGTTGGTTGCCACTGCTCCAATCGAGCCCGCTCAATCACTGTGACCGTTAACTGTGCTTGCAATATTTAATTACGGGGGAAATGGAATTAATGTTTTGTTTGCTTCAATTTGGGGACAACTACGCGTAATGGACCAATAAAAGTGGGATGCACACAGATTACGCTGCGGTAATAGGAGGGAAGGGATGATTTAAAGTTGGTTAATGAGCCTGTTGCTAAGTACCTCAAGTGATATTAATAGAGGGCATTTAGAAATTTAGATAATTTAGAACAATGTCAAATATCTTTGATGTATCAATTTCACAAGCACAATCAAAAGATAAAACAATAAAACAAAATCGTTGTGTAATTAGTGTAGAGCCAAATCATATGCAGCGATATCGACAACTGCTTCTCTTAAAGGACGTCTGTTTTTTTCCATACACTCACGTTGAAGATGGCAATGATTTGTAGGTTTTAAAGGCCAAATAGATACAAATCATATTTCAAATAATCCACTTTTCTTATGGTAATCTCCTGTTTAGGGCGACGCAAGCACATGTACCTAAATCATTATCCAAATATAACTTCCCATAGGTATGTGTAAATATTAATGGTCGTCCTTTCCCAGGGTCTATAGTCCTATAGCAAATCCTTTAAACATGCTTCTCGTCTGCTGTTGGCATTTCATTTTTGACAAACCTTGGAAACCGCATAACCTTCAATGAGTTTTACTACTTGCACGCATATAATACGAAAGGAAATTTATCAATAAATCAAGAAATGAAATTATGGCAGGTCGTCTTTTTTTATACAGGATAAGCAGATATAGAAAAGGACGCTTGTAACAGTAGTCAATACTTACACTACCTATGCAAAATGAACGACAGATTATAATTTCCATGTAAAGAATACCCAAAATTATTTTATGAGATTAAACACTTGAGGTTTCATTTATGTATGAAACTTACAATCTACTATACTTTGGAGCCCTGGCATAGGTAGTTTACAAACACAGATTTCAGTTGCGACTGAACTAAAATGAATTCTCAAACTACAGCCAAACTCCACGAAAACACCCACCGTAAATTCGAGGGCTTTTCTCCAGAGAACACCCCCGTTTCATAGAGTAATTGCCAGATCGAGCAGCTCCCGGATCTCATTAGGATTCGTCCCGTCTTAAATCTGCGCGTCCCCCGCCAAATGTAAATGAAACTTCAGAGGGGCGGGGGCGCACTTGCGGTTAAGCGGTTTTCTGTGTACTCATCAAGAGCGCTTTGTGCCCCCAATTAGCCGCCGCTTAGATTTGGTATTTATTCTGTCCCCTGGCGGCGCGGTGGACGCTCGTTCGCCGTCCCCAACGGCCTATGACGCGACGGGGTGGCCGCTGGGGTAGCCCTAATGCAGGCATTATTCCAAGAAGTACGCCGATTAAGTGATTCAGTAAAAAAAAATACACTTCTGTCTGAAGGCTTCTCTTTTAGGGACACTGGATATTAAAACTCGATGTTTACAATCAGTTCTTCTGATTCAATGCACGGATTCATTGGTTATTTTCTGATTTTCGATTTTTGCGTAAAAATGAGGATCAAAATATTTCGTTTAGAAGCAAAGGAACGGATAAGGTAGTTTGTGCAAGTTTATGCATTGGAATTATTTTTCTAGCGATTGTAATGACAAATATTCAATCGGTTCTTATAATTTTTTACAGTTGTACAATAATGACTACAACACATTACACAATTAACGTTTTTTTTTAGTTTTTAAAACATTTTTGTTTTGTTTATCCATAGATTTGACAAATACTATGGATGGAATGTAGAGAGACAGGGTAGGGGTCAAGATATAAAATGAGATAAAACTAGTCTCACGTCACCTGATTTGGGGAATTTTCAATCTTAGTACGTGCGATTTTTCATATCTATTACATAATATTAAGTGTTATTGCGTATTTTACACTTAGATTTGAGAGTATTTTTTTTAATTGTTGTGTTACTACCAAAAAAGAGTCAATTTAATCAAAAATAGTTTCTTTTAAAATCAATGTCGCGCGATTTGTATCTCTCTATCTCTCACGTGACTTAGGGCAAATACCTGCCGCTTTTGCTTTTCATGTTGGAACAGCTACAAGTCACAGAAAGTGGGCTTTGGCTCCACCCATAGTACTGCCAAAAGTAAATTCAACAGCAACAATATAATGTTCTTACTCAGTAAGGGTCATTTTCATAATTCACTTTAACCAAACTTAAAAGTTGTAATAGGTTTCATAAATCCACTTTAATATTTAAAATCTACTTTAAGATAAAGTCATCCAAGGCTTCAAGGAATCTTTAGCTTTATGCTTTATACCTAACCTGAAAAATCGGTGTCAGTTTTTAGTTTTTGTTTAATATTTATATGTAGTTTTGTAGTATTACAATTTTGGATAGTAAATAATGGATACATCTGATTCTGAATTGCTCTCAAGTGATTTATCAAGTTCTTCTGATTCTGAATTAGAAATTATTGTAAGGAAAAACAAAGTTTACAAAAATAGAATCGAAGATTTTGATAATTGGTTAGATTGTGAGTTTTTTCACAGATTTGGGTTGAGTAAACTTGCAGTGATTGAGCTACTAGAACTTATTAAGGAAGATATTGAATCTCCTACAAACAGGTAAATAACAGTTATTGTTCTAACCAGTCAGTGGTACATAAATGTTTTATTTTTTAAGAGGCGGAGCTATAAAGGCGTCAACCAAACTTTTATTAACACTACGCTGCTATGCCACAGGAAATATATTGCTTACAGTTTCTGATTTTGTTGGTGTATCTGTAGCTTCAGGTAGCCGAATTGTTAAACAAGTGAGCCATGCCATCGCATCTCTGAAACCCTATTTAATGAAAATGCCAGAAACAATACAGGAGCTTCAAGAAGTCGCGCAGAATTTATACGAAATTGCACGATTTCTTCGGTGTTGTGGTACAATAGACTGCACGCATGTTAGAATCATATCCCCAGGTAATTCAATTACATATCTTAAACTAGTTACTACAGTACTACAATTAATGCTTTATTCATAACAAGGTGGTGCAGATGCCGAAATCTTCAGGAACCGAAAAGGATATTTTTCTATAAATGTACAAACCGTATCGGGTGCACAGCTGAAGATAAGGAATATAGTTGCCCGATGGCCTAGTAGCTGTCATGATTAAACGATTTTTAATAATTCTAGACTCAAATATGATTTGCTACATGGACAGTTCAGAAATTTACATCTAATAGGCGATAGCGGTTACTCTGTTCAACAGTATCTGTTATCTCCCCTCCAGACAGTAACCAGTGAACCAGAAAATTTGTACAATGAAGCATTAATTAGAACTCGCAATATTGTTGAGAGACAGTATGGCGTGTGGAAAAGAAGATTCCCCATTTTGTCTTTAGGAATTAAAGTAGATGTTAATACTGCAATGACAATTATTACTGCCACAGCCCACAGCTGTGTTACATAACATGACTATTGACATGAACGAAGACCTGCATGAACATATTGAGAACCAAGGGAAGAATGATAGGATTGTCCTAAAATGTTTTTTGATTGTTTAATCATCTTATTATCCTAGGAACCTGTTTAGAACCACCCTGTACATGTTCACATTTTTTTTACACTTCATTTTATTCCACTCTTTTTTTCTCAATCTCTGCATCTAAAAGCTCCATTTCTTTCTCATGTTTGTGTTGTTTTCTTTCATCTTCATTTTTTAAATTTTGAATTTTCTGTTCAATATACTGTTGCTAAAGAGAAAAAAAATGTTTTCGATTCATGTTGTTTCGGTGTTGGCTTCTTCTTAAATGATAATTTCTTATTTTTCGGTTCCTTCAACATTCGTGGTGTAGGTACCTATATCAACTCCAGGAATTTCTGATGCATTAATTACTTGGACTTGGAACAATATTTTCGTGGTCTTAGTTATCTTGATCTTGATCATGATTCTCTTCATAAACTGAAAAAAAAAACACTATTTGTATAACCGATTACTACATTATAATAGTATCATAAATACAAACCTATAACCATTTACTTAACAAAAAATGCATTATCTGTTAATTTATATTTCTATCTTATAGTAGTACCTTCTTAATGTATTAGTTACACATGAAATCAATGTTACTATATCCATGGCTTTAGTTATTAGATTTTTGAGTTATATGAGAAAAATAGGACAAAAAAAATTTTGCTTATTCTTACCTATCTCAATATTCTCCATGTCTGAGCTTGTAATTTCCACTCTATCATTGTATGTTATTTCTTCAATATTTATATTATCGTCATCATACGGATTATCTAAACCAACTACCGTTTTTTATTCAAAATGTTTATGACTGCCTCATAAATTACATTTTTTGAATCCGCAAGATCTGAGGGATCTCCACCTGTTCCATGATAATTTCTGTTCATTCTTACAGAATATTTTCTAGCAGCAATTTCCCCCGCGGAATGATTAAATTTGGATTATTGGCATTTTTTTCTGATATATGTAAATAGGGTGTCCCACTAAGGTCGGTGAGGTACGATATTAGAGAAAAATCCGTAAAACGGGGCATTTTTTTAAAATAACGCCATCTATAGGTTTCCACATTGAAATAAATGACATTACGCATTCACCACGACATAAAGCATGAAAAGACCTTTCCAACGAGATATAACACTATGGACTTTTGATAAGCCAATCCTTAAAAAAATATTTTTTTCTGATCAGACATTAGGGGCTTCCCCCACCCTTTCTGTCGAGAGATAGAACAAAATGTCACTAACAAAAGTTGTGCGCGAAGAATCCAGCTATCCATATTTG